ATCACATAAGACACCTTGTTGATGCACTATGTTCTGCTACATCATTTTCCTTTTGTAAAAAATGATTTTGCTTCCAGATTTCAGCTGTTATAGATAGCCTTGTAATAGAAATCTTTGTGCATCTAGCTTTTTGGCTTCTGTGGAATTAATTCTTCTGGGTAAGTTCCCAGGAGCAGGATTGCTAGGTCAAAGTGACAGAACATCTGTGTGGCTCTTGCAACATATTGCAAAGAATGCGATTTAAAAAATACTATGAATGTATTTGTTTACGCTTAGAAAAATAGCTCGTGTTATAGCGGCATCAGGCCTCCACGTGCTCCAGTGAGGAATCTTAAAGACATCTCTGTTTGAAGGCAAATACAGATTTTCACAAGAACTGGAGGTTAACAAAGTTTTAGTCAGTTTTCGTGCATGCACGTCAATGGGAATGATATGATTTCTATAGGACTCTCGGGGGATTCTCATGACTATTTCATCTTAATCAAATAAGACTGTAGATTCACAGATTCATTTGAATAGTTATTCTCCACACTATAGATCAATATATTTTTCATGGGAATTTTAAGAAAAGGGAAATAGCTATTTGCTTCTGTGATCATTTGGAATCCCAAACTAAATTACATTCCTTGCTTATAGAATGATGTCAAAAAATGTTTGTTGAATTAGCAAAAGTATAATTGTTCTACACATTGTCTGTTTTTAATATAATTAAAAGGTGCAAAGTCTTCAACTTTACTAATAGAATTAAAGAAAACTAAAGTACTTTTAAGAATATAAAAACCAATATATGGTTCATGATCAGTTTGCTACATACAATTTCCTACTCCTCCCTACTTAATTAAACAATTCAAATATATAATAATATAAAATCAATGTCAATTTCACAGCTGCCAGATGCCAAAAAATTTAAAGGACAGTTTTTAATACCCCCATATGTACAGCTATTTCCACAGCCCTCTGTGGCATTTTTTTTTTCTGCAGATTAAAATGGTGATGAAAATAGGCTGGTTCTAGGTACCAGCTGTCATTTCTTTTGAAGTTTCCATTATTTCAGTCTTTTGAATTTGGGTAATCAAAAATTTATAACCTATTTCAAAATATAAATTCTTTCAGCTTTTTCTTGTTTAAAATGTGCATATTTTTATAATTACCTGCCTTAAATCTCACACTGTGGGATCACGAATGCATTCTTCTTTCTAAAAGAAAATGTGGGTAGTGACGGTATCAACCTATAATATCTAAAAGAAAAATAAATTTTAGACTGAAAGGGGAGGCTACACGCAGCAACAGACAAGGTACTGAGAGTTGGGAGATGGGTCCAATCTGCCTCCCTCTTCTACGGCCAGCTCTGACTGTCCCCCTCCGGCCCTCTTCTCTGGTCCTACCAAGTGGCTTCCCCTGCTCCGCACTTTCCTAATACAATACTCAACTCTTTAGCATTTTCTCACCATGCCATGTTTTTGCAAAATATTCTAGCCTTGCACACGTTGTTCCAGCTACCTGTAATGCCATCTACCTTCTCTATCTGGAAAATTCCTGATCATCCCCCAGAGCTCAGTTCAACCATCACTTGTACAGTTAACTCTCCTGTAACAGCTAGCAACGTTACTCCCACTACATTGTATCACCGCCACCCCCCCCCCCAACAAAAGAACCTGACCTGGTAACATAAGAAATCTACCCATTTCTTTCTCTAAGAGTACTGGACACATATTATTCACCCACTCAAATGTTTGATTAAATGCCCACTGTTCTAGATGCTGGGACACAGTGGCGAGCAAAACAGACAAGCCTTCTTGGGGGTTTTGGCTTGATGGAGATAAACAGACAATGAAATAAATAAGTAAATTATTTATGTAGTGTGTTAAAAGACAATAAGTGCTTATGGAGAAAATAGAGCAGGGAAGGGAGAAGGGAGTGCCGGGGCAGGGTGTGTCGGGAGGTAGGGCAGATGCTTACCCAGTGAAATAGGGTAGCCAGGGAAGAGCTCGGTGACAAGGTAGCATCTGAGCAAAGATGTGAAGGAGGCGAGGGAGTCACAATGGGGATGTCTGTGGAAGAGAATTCCAGACAGACGGAACAGAAAATGTACAGGCCCGTCAGTGGGAGCTGCCGGTCTTTGGAGAACAGCAACAAAGCCCTTGCAGATGGATGCAGTGGTCCCCAATATTTCTGGCACCAGGGACCAGTTCCATGGAAGACAGTTTTTCCACAGCAGAGCTCAGGTGGTGATGCAAGCATTGGGGAGCAGCTGTAAATACACTTGCTTGCCAGTCAATCACCTCCTGCTGTGCGCCCCCTACCCCGGGCTGGTTCCTGACCCCCAACCCTGTTCCTAATGTCATGGAAGACATTTTCCCATTGACCAACACAGTCCCAATGGCCATAGTTCCAAACTGGTGGGGGTTGGGGACCACAGGATTAGAGTGAGTAAAAATAAGAGTAATGGAGTTAGACCAGAAGGGTAAAAGGGTAAAGATGGGGGCCCAGATCTTATGAAGTCTGGAAGCCACTGTGAAGACTTTGGCTTTTACTAGGAGTGGGATGGGAAGCCATTGGAGGATTTGATCAGAACATGGACTTGATCTGAGTTACATTTTTAAAGGCCTCCTCTGGTTGTTACAGAATATGGGTTGTTGGGGGACAAGGTAATAATCCAGACAGGAGAAGGTGACAATTGGGTCAGGATTGCAGCAAGGGAGGCAGTGAGCAGTGGTCAGATTCTGGATATATGAGGGTAGACCCAATAGGATTTCATCATGGATTAGATGCAGGGTGTGAGAGAAAGAAACAAGTAGAAGATGGCTCTGAGGTTTGTGGCCTGAGCAAGTGGAAAGATGGAGCTGTTACCGAAGTGAGATGATGAAAGTTGTAGGTTTGGAGGGGAGGATGAGGAATTTGGCTTTGCACACGTTGAGTTTGAGATGCTTTTTAGCCCTTACAGGAGAGATGTCAGGTTGTCAGTTGGCATATGAGCCCGGAGTTTGGGAGTGACATCTACTGGAGATAAAAATTTTGGAGTCATTAACCTACAATTGATTTTTAAAGCCATGACACTGAGAACACAAAGGGAGTGGTTATAGAAAGAAAATACAAGAGGTTCAAGGCCTGAGCCCCAGGGGACTTCAATGTTAAGTGTCTAAGCATACAGATCTGGGATAGCATGTTCACATTTTATTGTAATTGTTTATGCTTGTCTCAGACTTCCACTAAACTGTGATCTCCTTGATGGAAAAAAACTGGATCTTATTTTTTTTTTTTGAGACAGGGTTTTGTTCTAATGCCCAGGCTAGAGTGCCATGGCGTCAGCCTAGCTCACAGCAACCTCAAACTCCTGGGCTCAAGCAATCCTCCTGCCTCAGCCTCCCAAGTAGCTGGGACTACAGGCATGCACCACCATGCCCGGCTAATTTTTTGTATATATATTTTTAGTTGGTCAATTAATTTCTTTCTATTTTTAGTAGAGACGGGGTCCCTCTCAGGATGGTTTCGAACTCCTGACCTCGAGCAATCCGCCCGCCTCGGCCTCCCAGAGTGCTAGGATTACAGGCGTGAGCCACCACGCCCGGCCTGGATCTTATTTTTAACAGCTTTATTTGAAGTATAATTTATGTGTCATAACACTGACCTCTTTAAATATGTAATTCAATGATTTTTGGTTTTTATTCATTTTATATCTTCAATGATGGGTATATGGTAAGCACTTAATAAATGCGTTTAGAATGAATGTTGAAGTTTTAAGTGAATGAATAATGAACAAACGTATTTGATTTTAGACCAGCCCTTTACATCTCTGGACATCACTTCATTGTGTAAAAACAAGAGTGCCAACTGGAGAATTTTTCATTTGCTTTCGACTTTGAAATCTAAAGGTTTCAAAGGTTTGTTTCAGAGGTGTGATAGTTAATTTTATGTGCCAACTTGACTGTGCCATGGGAGGCTCCAACATTTGATCAAACATTATTCTGAGTGTATCTGTGAGGGTGTCTCTGGGTGAGAATAATATTTGAATTGGTAGACTGAGTAAAGCAGATTGCCCTCCCTAATGTGGGTGGGCTTCATCCAGTCAACTGCTACCTGAGTGGAAAAATAAGAGAAAGCTCCTGTTGCCTGAAAGCTTGAGCTAAAACATGAGTCTTTTCCTGCCTTCAGATTCCAGCTGAAAAATCAGCTCTTCTTGGTTTCCGGCTGGAACTAACATCATTGACTCTCCTGATTCTCAAGCTAAAAAAAAAAAAAAAATTCCTAGATAAAATTTTGGAAAATCAAATTCAGAAAGACATATAAAGAATGATGCATACTGAACAAGTTAGAGTTTATTCCAAGAATGCAAGGTTGGTTAACATTCAAACATTGATCAATATAACTCACCATACTGAGAGTGAGTTTTGTCTTGGTAAAATCTCTCAATAAATTTGGAATAGAAGCTAACTTTCTCAACCTAATAAAGGACATCTACAAGACAAGAACAAAAACAAAAAATAAGGCTAAGATCACCCTTGATGTTGAAAGACTGAATGTTTTCACCCTAACACTGGGAATACAGCAAGCTTGCCCACTGTTACTATTTCTATCCAATATTCTAGCAGGACAATAAGGGGATGTGGGAAGGAAAGAAAGAACGAAACGGAAGAAATACAAATTTGAATAAAGAAATAAAACCAACTTTATTCACAGATAAAATGATTCTGTTCATAGAAAATTCTGAAGAACAAATAAAAAATATACTCTATAGAACTCATAAGTTCTCAAGATATAAGGTTAATATACAAAAATCAATTGTATTTCTTCACAATGAAATAAACAATATGACAAGCAATGAACAACTAGAAAATGAAATTAAAATTCTGTTTATAATAACATCAAAAAATGAAATATTTATGGAAAATTAAATATATGTAAAACTTGTAGACTAAAAAATACAGAAGACTGCCGAATGAATTTGAAGAAGTCCTAAATAAATGATGAGATACACCATGTTCGTTGTATCTCAACGAACTTTTTAAAAAAATTGTAAAAATTGGCAAATAGATTCTAAAAGAACCAAAAATAGCCAAAATAATCTTGAAAAGGAAAAAGTTAGAGAAATTATCTGATCTTAAGACTTACTACAGCAATCAAGACAGTGTGATTTGCCAAATCAACAAGCATGTAGATCAACATAATAAAATACAGAAGCAGACACATACAATTATGGCAAATTAATTTCCAACAATGATACAAAGGTAATTCAGTGGGAAGTACAGTCTTTTCAAAAATGGAGCTGAAACAACTAGAAATCTGTATGGAAACAAATGAACCTTGATCCTCATCTCCCACCATACACAAAAATTTACTCAAAGTGAATCACAGACATAAATATAAAAGCCAAAATGATAGAACTTCTAGAAAAAAACAGGAGAAAATCTTTGTGGCATTAGAGTATGCAAAAAATAAAAAAGATGTTTTTGATAGGATTCAAAAAACTCCACAATTGATAAAATAAAACAATGACAAATTCAATGTCATTAAATTTTTGATAATTAGCTCTTCTAATGGCATCTTTTAAAATATAAATATGCAAACAAAAGACTGGAAGAATGTATTTGTAACACATATATCTGACAAAGGACTTATATTCAGAATATATAACAAACTCTTACCACTTACTATATTAAGAAGAAAAACAACCCAACTAAATGGGCAAAAGATTTGAACGAATATCTCAGAAAAGAAGGAACAAGGAATTTCGTGCCAATCAGTACACCAAATTCCATCAGGAAAATGCAAATTAATCACCAGGAAAATGCAAATTCAAATCACAATAGAATACAACTTCACACCCATTAGAAAGACTAAAATTTAAAAGACCAGCAACCCCCAATTGTGGGTGAGGATGTGAAGCAACTGACAATTTCTCATAAAAGGAAATATACACCTACCCTGTGACCATCAAACCTTCTCATAAGTATTTGCCCAAGCAAAATGAAAATACATGTTCATAAAAAGCCATATACAAGAATATTCATAGCAGCTTTACTCATAATAGCTAAAGCCTGGAAATAACCCAAATGTCCATCAGCAGCAGCATGGCTAAATAAATCGTGGTATGTCTTTACAATAAAATACTACTCAACAATAAAATCATGCTCTTCCAGTATATGCAATGATGTGAATGAATCTCAAAAACATTATGCAGAGTGAAAGAAGCCAGATACAAAAAAATACATACTGTTCGATTCTCCTTGTCTAAAATTCTAGGAAAAACTAATCTATAGTGACAGGAAACGGATCTGGGGGGCAAGCAGCTGGGATCTAGCCAGTGTTGTCTTCCTAACCAGCCGTGTGAGCTTGAGCAGGTCACACTCCACCTCTCTGCTCCTTAGTTTCTTTAAATGTAATAGATAATTCAATGAACCCAGGTCACATGTATTAACTGATCTTCAGGGTCCCTTCCTGCACTGAATTCTTGGCCTCTTCTGCATCCAGACTCACAGAAGAATAAAGGGGAAGAGCGTGTTCATGGCATTTACATTGAATGCCTAAAATGTAGTGTAACAGTCATGAAGTGCTTTTTTCATGAGAGAGAAGGGAATAATTGTTTAGCAGAAAAATCTTGAATTAATAGTAAAATAGGCCAGGAAACTGAGGAAAGAGCTCTAACTGCAGTAGCAGGAGGCCTGTGCTTTTGATAGGAAATGCTGAGCAAAGAGTAGGGTGAGTGGCAGAAGGAAGGAAAAGCAAAGAAGGAAAAAGCTACGCAGCCCCTAAAAAGTGGAGACTCAATCACCTTCCTGGTACATATTAGGTAACTGCAATTATTACATCCATTTATTTTCCCGGTAAGGTATTATTCCTGTGCCAGTATTATCTAGAACAGTCACACAAATAGACCCCCAAAATGCATTTAAAAAGACATTTCACCAGGCTCTTCTCTGAGGGAGCACATTGCCTGTTACATAACAATCCCATGACAGAGGTACTGTGCTTGTTTTTGTCCTCTCCATTTTACAGGTGGGGAAACTGAGATCTATACCACTGTATCACCTTTCTAAGAAAATAACAAGGCATTTTAAATTTGTAAGCACAGCTGGCCTCATGGCTTTGGATAAGGAATTATGGGCTTGTAATACCTAACGTGCTGGACTGTGGTCAGGGTTAAATGAGGTAACATATGTAAAGGCCCTGGCATAGATTCAGTTCTCTATAGCAGGTAGTTATTACTAATAGAAGGAACAATTAATTTTGACTGGTAAAATTTGTAAGGTGTCTTGGAGGATGCAGGATTAGAAGGATCCTGGTGGCAAGACCACTCAAGACAAAGGAGACCACTTTGGCCAATTTAACTGTGTGACAGTGGAATGCATATTCTAGGAAGGTAAAATAAGGAGGTGGCACAGGGTTCAGAGTTACAGAAGAAGATGAGGCTAGAAAGTTTGGTTGGGGCTACAAATAGTGGATAGCCTGTATTGTTTGCATCCTACAGCTTTGGTACATGGCAGGGTTTGGGGGTGCTGCTGGGGTTTGACATGACCTTATCAGTGTTTTAAGAAAAGAACTCTGGTGACAGTGTAGAGGATGGGCTGAGGCAAGGGGACAGATAGAGGGACTAGTCAGGACATTCTAGCAGGGTCTGAGTTGAGATTTAATGAAGGTTGGACGTGGGGCTCCTGAGAAAATGGGACATTAGGAACACAGGGAGACTCAGTCAGGATTTGGCAACTAAAACAGGGTAGGAGAGAGTGAGAGGAAGATTCTGGAGCTGAAGTGTTTCTGGGACCTCAAGCATAAGTCACATCTAGCACAGCTATGATTGAGATCAAGTGTTTCAATAAAGAGAAGAACTAGGTTTGTACGGAAGGATGAGTTCAATTTAGGACATGCGGAGTCTGAGATGTTTACAGAACATCCCGTTGGAAATATGGGCCTGGGGCTCAGGAGGTGAGTCAGCAGGAGGCAGATGGAGAGTCGTCCCCTTAAAGATCACAGTGGAAACTACCCAAGTGGATGAGATCATTGAGGAAGAACATGTAGCATGAGGCAAATACTATCAACATCAGCACCCATTACAGGGAAGTGCATGTGCTTGGAAGACCTTGGCTTATAGTGGGAAGAACATCAAACAAAATTAAAATATCTGAGTGTAAGTCCTGCCAGGACTTCTATGTGTATATTCTCATTAATTAATCTTTAACACATAACATTGTGAGGTAGAAAAAAAGAGGGAAGAGGGATGAACACTTATTAAGGCCCATATTTTTGAGGTTTAGGCAGAAGAAGAGGAACTAGAAAAGGGAAGAAAGATCAAGTTTTTTAAAAGTTACATTAAACCTCCAACAGCCAACTTGTTATCACCAGACAGAGATCCTGCCTCTGGTATTCTTGGATCTTAGATGAGGATCAGGATGCAGGCATAAAAGGATACGTAACAAGCTAAGGGGACATTTAGGAAATACCAAGTGCATGGCATAGACAAGAAGCACTATTTAATCACGGATTGAGCTGGATTTGGTCCAGGAAGGGTCAGAGAGAAGACATATGGGCTGGGTCTTAAAGGGCACAGAGCTTGAAGGAGTGGAGAGAGCAGAACGGTGCAGGTAGGGGGACCACGGCCTTAAAGGCCAAGCGTTTTCTCTTAACTCATATTTATAACTGAGGCATACCAGAAAGCCTCCTGCAAATTAATAATACTTACAGCCTGTCTCTATTTTTAACTCAAAATTTCCTGCTAACACCCAATGCTATAGGAACATACTGATGTGGTCAACAGATTTAGCAAAACAGTGGCATTTGATTTTCCTTGTAAACATTAGTACATTTCATCTTTTCTTTCAGCTTCTTATTTATTTTAGTTCCAGCATTTATTTACAAATACACCTTTGATTTCTAAATGTTAAGTCTCTTAATGTCTAATAGTATAGGATTCTGAATTATTGACATTATGCCCAGAGATTTTTAAAGAATGATGAATTCCCAGTTCCTTCCACACTAATGGTCTGAAAGTTGCTCCCCTCTCCCTGGAACTCAGGAGGGACCCTGGAGCAAGGTTATGTCACAGATTGTAGTGGGCATTGGCTGCTCCTTGGCTTCTCACAACCCACTCCTCCTTCTGTTAAGAGCACTCCAAACTCTTTGTTGGCAAGTATTGGCTTCTCACTGTGGCTGTCCCAGTGAGGGATCCCAGCCCACATGTCTTCTCCTCTCTGAGCCTTCCTGGACCAAATCCAGCCTAATCCATGCTTAAATAGTTAAGGAACCCTGCCTTCTTCTTGCCAAGAGTAGCCACTGACTAAAGTTAGCCAATGAAATTTTATTCCAGAACACTACACCTTGAGCAGAACAACTTGGACTGTTAATAAAAAATCTGACCAGGGTTTATTTCAACCATGATGTTCTGAGGAGATCATCAATTACTTTCTACCCTGTGGCTAATCCTCATTCTTCAGGTCCTTTTCCAATTCTGTTAGCTGTCCCACATCTTTCTAATAATTTCTCTCTCAACTTAGCCACAGTTTTATTGTTTACAAACAAAACAAAACAAAACAAAACAAAATTCACTTGCTGACCCCACTAGAAAATCCAGTGTTCTCAACTGTCTGCCAAAGTTTCCTCCATTGATGTGGGAAATCAAGAGTGGTAAGGATGGGACACTGTTTTAAGTTCTTTATATACACACTAGTCATTTAATTCTCACATAACCTAAGAGCTAGAGAGGTATTATCCCCATTTAGAGAAAAGGAAACCAAGAAAACTTAGGTAATTTGCTCAAGGTCATAGAATAAATGGTAAAGCCAGGACATAAAGCTGGGCAGTTTGATTTCAGAGCCAGTGCTTTTTTTTAATCTCTACTGTACTGCATTGCAACTAACATGGGGTTGCACGTGCCTGTGCTCTTATTCTCTCTCTTCCTGTCTCCTCCTATGTTAATGCCTCCACTTCCTCTCTGGCCCTCTCCAGTTCATTCTCCACAGAGCAG